TGGTCCCTTTATCCTGCCCCCCCTCCGCTAGTGCTGCCTGTTCCCTTCACACCCCCCCCCAGCAGCTGCTTTAGCAAGTGGCCTGGTCCCAGGGCCCTCTGAGAGGGGGGACGACTGCCCCAGAGGGCAGGCCTGGCCCGTTTCCTGTGCACTTCCTGTCCCTGCCCCCCAGCCTTGTTCCCCTTAACCAGCTCAGTCCTGCCCCCCAGAGCAGCTGCGTCTTGGGTGTCTTTGGCAAGCCGGGTCCACAGCTCCTGGGTTCCCAGTGCCCAGTGTCCCTGTGGGATCGGCCTGACCGGGACACCCCGAAACCCAGGAACAGCTGGAATAACGAGGCACAGGCCGGCCCCGCCTGCCCCTCAGCGCCGTCCTCGGGCTCAGCCTGTCCAGCGGAAAGAGCGCACGAGGTCCGGGGACACGGGGGACGCTTTATCCGCAGCGGCTGGGTTATGAGTACCCGGCGCAGTGCAGCCATCGCGCTCTTCGTGGCCGTTGCCTCTGCCGCGGTGCTGGGCTCTCCTGGGAGGTCGTTCAGGGCGAGGTGGAAGGGCTAATCAAGTCCCACAGCTGGGGCCACCTTGCCCCCCCTGCAGTACCGGCCCGGCCAGGCTGCGTGGGAAGCGCATGACCCTCCCAGGGATCCGCCGCGCAGTTCGGCCCTCGTGTTCGGGGGCTTCCCCTCATGGGCCTGGGCCCGTCTTTGGGGGTCACTCTGTCCTGCCCCCCCTGAGCCGACTGTGGCCCTGGTGCTCTGCACACGGCCCGCAAGGTGGTGGGGAGGGGCCGAATGCTTCTAGACCCTTCCCTTGGCCCTCTTGTCCCTTTGGGGATTACGGGCCTGCTCTTGCCCGCTCATTTCCTCCCCAGGGGTGTGTCTGCACCAAAATGCCCCCCCTCACTCTTAGCTCCCTGCAGTGGCTGCAACCTGTGGGAGATGGGGTGCAATCTCCCCCCTCGGGCTCCTTCCTGCCCCCGCAGCTCAGAGGCACTCAGTTGCCACCCCTCTAGGGTACGGGGTTGCCTCACAGGCAGAAGCCATGCTGAACGCAGGCGTTGGCATCAGCTATGCTTTCCTTCCTTGCTGATCACACCCTGCCCCGTCCTGCACAGCCAGGGAAGGCAGGGGATGGACCCGCAATGACTTCACTCAGGACGGGCACCATGTCCAAACCAGACTTTATTGGCGTGGCCTGCCTGTAGACAACATGGGACAATTAAAAACCAATTAAATGCACCCCCGGCTTTTTCCAAACCAGCTGCCAGCACAAGCAGGGGAAGGCTCTGTGCAGTATGGCCCTAGCTGGGCATGGAGATGGAGCCCAGCTGGTGGAGGTCGAGCAAGACGGAGGGAGAAGTGCTGGGCGCAGGGCGGTGTAGGTCCTGGCAGCCAGGCACCGCACTGGCAGGATCTAAGGGGAACGAGCGCACAGGCTGTCATGATGTCCCCGCAATGCCCACTGTGCATTCTCTATGCCCCATCCCGCCTGGGCACCACACAGCTCCAGGCTGGGTGGGGGCATGCCCACAAGGCTTGGGACAGGGGTATGGTGGTGGGGTGGGCTCCATGGTACCTGCTGCTCCTGGGCTCCCTGGTGCCTTGCTGCTGCTCTCGCCTGGCGCCGGGTTGCTGCTGCCCTGCTGTGACGTGGGTCCTGGGGGGGGTGCGGGGTCTGTGGGGGGCAGCTGAGCCGTGCCATAAGGCACGGGGCTGAGCATGGGGAGCACATGCACTTCCATCATGATGGGGGTGCTCGGCAGGGGCAGAGGGGAAAAAGGCATCTCAGGGCACAGGGGCAGCAGCGGGTAGGGGCTACCGAGGGTAGCATGCGCAGGAAGCAGCATGTGGGCTGCAGAGGGCGGATCCGGGGGGTAGCGGAGACTGCTGCGGGGAGCCCTGCCAGAGCTGGCTCTGGAGCCCTGGGCATTGGAAACCACTGGCGGACGCCAGGGCGGTCCTGGCGAGACCAGGTGGGAGCCCCGGTACTGCGGAGCAGGGGTGCGGGTGTGTCGGTGCAGGGCTGCCCGTAGCGGCGTCAGCCCTGCAGGTGCTGCCCTGTCGCTGGAGCCCGTCAGGACCTGCGTCTGGGTGGGGTCTGACGCCATCAGGAGGCTGGCGTCGCAGGGCGGGGCAGGGAAACCGGGGAATGGCGGCCAGGTAGGGCAAGGGGGCAGGAAGGTGGGCATGGCAGCAGCAGGGGCTGGCTTGGGAGTGTTTCTCAGCACCATCAAGGCCTCAGCGGCCTCCTTCTGCAGCTGCTCTTCGGAGATGGGGGAGAAGACAAGGCCCTGAGGTGGCCAGAGCGGCAGAGGAGCCAAGGCGGAGGGCACCTGCAAGAGAGGAGTTGGGGGAGGTTAAGGCACCCCCTCACCCGTGCCAGCATCTGGCTATGAGCAGGATGGATCTGAGGGCTCTGTACCTGGGTGCCCAGTGGCATCGGCTCCCGGAGGGCGCTGGAGCCTGCGTTCCTGTCCCGGGGGCCCAGCAACAGGCGGCTGCAACGACACAGTGGGCATCAGAGGTGCACAGTGTTTGGGAGCCCACTTACCTCCTAGCCCTGGTGGTTTGATGCCCAAGCTGTCCAGCCTAACCCGTCTCGTCCTCCCCAGGCGCGGGGGAAAGCCCGCTGTGGTGCTGGTTCAGTTCTGGCAGATGCACGTGTGGAGCAACCCAAAACAAGCCCCTCCCATTGCCAGCCAGCCCAGATACCTACCCAGGCAGGTCAGAGCACGCTGCTGGGTACCAGATGGGCCCCAGCGGTGGTGGGAACAGCTGCCCAGGGACTGCCACGAGGCCAGGTGGGGCGCATGCCATCTCGCTGCCCTCGCACCCTGCCAGTTAACAGGAGGTGACGTGAGATGCTGGGCCAACGTGGCGCTGCTTGGAAGGGTGACGCGTTCCCGTCCCACTGAGGGGAGCAGCCCACAGAGTGCCTGGCCATCCTGGAACGGACGGTCCAGATCACACCGGTCGCAGTGATGGGGGTTGATGGCGTCGGGGCTACGCACCTGGGTGAGTTTGCAGGTGAGGCAGCACCTGGCAGCAGAGGGGCGGTGGCAGGGGGAGAGGTGGCACGAACCAAGGGGCTGGGGCTGGCTGGTATTCCCCAAAGGCCCAGGGCAGGTCTGGCGTGCTTGGCCAGTGGGGGAGAGGCACCCAGGAGCTGTTCTACAAGGGGACACAAGAGAGGCGGCTGGAAGGAGAGAAAGCAGGGAGCTGCTCAGGGCAGCGGCTGCCAGCCGTGCCTTTCCCTCTCCTCACCTTCTTGGCGAGTGGGTGCCTCTGGCGGGCAGCAGGCGCCGCGGCATCGCTCCCTGCTTCCCCGCTGGCCGGCTCCACGTTCTCCTTCTCCTCTGCAACGAGGAGGAAGGGGCTGGGCAGGTCGTGCAGCCGGCGTCACCCCGCGCCACAGGGCTGTGGGGGCGCGTACGCACCTCCGCCCACGGCCTTCTGCCGCCGGCTCCCCTCGCACGGCTCCCCTCGCACGGCAGAGCCGTCCCCGAGCTGGAGCAGACCCCTGGCCAGCTGCCGGCGCAGCTCCGTCTCCTGCTGCCGGCGCAGGGCCACCCGGGCTGGCAC